CTTCTTGGAAGCTGTAGCATTTCACTGAATGCAGGGGTTTGGATCTGTACCGTGCTTGTCTGTGCAGTCAGGCTCAGGCTGTTTATTATTTGGTTGCCTTTCCATCAAGCCTGGTGGCTGCACTGACAGGATTTGGTTGAACACTGCCTGAACCATGAGGTGAGTGTGTGAGGAGGAGCAGCAGAATCCATCACTTGCCATAGAGTTGGTTTTGCTCAAGATGACCTCAGAGCTGGAAGATCCTAAGAATATTCAGTGTGGGAATATTCACACATTGTGCTTGCTTTGAGCTGTTTTCTGTTTGCTTTGAGAAGGGGAGTTTCTGCAGGAGATGGCAATGATGCAAAAAAGACTTAAAACCCGTCCTTCAGTGGCCTGGGCTTCCCAATGTGGGGGCAAGAGGGATAAGAGGCTTAGAGATTATAGGACAACTTTTACAAAGCAAGCTACTGCATTATAAAATTATATTATGATAACATGTTTATTATTATAGTATTATATTATTATGCTTATGTAATTGACTGGGTAGATTATCATAAATATTAAAATAATGTAATAAAGAAAAAATTGTGTAAGGAATGTGTAAGAAAAAGTCTCTTGCCCCTATTTCTGAGGGGGAAAACCAAAAGGACAGTTGTGTGTGTGATTGTGTATGTTAGGATTTTAAAAGCCTCTAGACAGGATTTTACAGCCACACATGATGGAGTGTGTCCATGGGCCAACTTGGGAATGCTGGTAACAATGGCACTGGGCAGCCCCTCGTCCCAGCACTCCACAGACTGAAACAGAGGAGATTAACAAGAGCAGGAGAGAAGCTCCTACGTACCCACAGTCATTGGTGCCACCACCACAGCACCTGCCCACCCAGTAACTGATGGAGGGAGCATCAGGAAAACACAAGCCTTGCATGTAGCTGATCCCATGGTGGAGCACGGCCGGCTTAGCACTTGACGGTACCTCGGAGCAGGGACTTGTGTTGGCCCTGGAGAAGGCAGTGGCTGTTTCCAGAGGACAATGTACATGGAGAGGAGTTGCGGTAGAGTACACAGAGCAAAATTAGGGTGAAGTTTTGAAAGAGGCTGTAATGGCAGAGGAAATGCTGCCACTTTATTGCAGACAGTGTTTTCCCCTCGGTACCAGGGGCCACAGAGAGGGAGCAGGGTGTGAACGCTGGCAGCACCTCCTGTTTGGCTGCAGCTTGGCTTTTCCTGGCATTTTCTCCTCCACAGTGTATGTGGACGGAAAGACACAGAACTTGGTGAAACAATACAGCAGCTCCCAAGCCAGGCTTTAATCAGCAGCCACAGGTTCTTGTTCTGCAGTCAGTGCTGTTGCTCTTCATTGGAAGGGAGGACCACTCGAAGGTAGAGGTTCCCTGCAGGGTGGCAGTGCACGCCATCCTCCGTGGCAGGACCACAATTCCGACCCAACGGGTGGTTCTGGCAACACCCTCCGGAGTGGAGCCCGAAGGGAGGGGAGGGAGAGAACGGGACGGTTCCCAGGCAGAGGCAGCAGTGACCCCTGGAACGACCGTGCCCTTCTGGCCTCTCCGGGGCGTGCCCGGCGGTCTCTATTTAGAGCGGGACGGCAGCGCGGTGGTGGCAGCAGCGGAACAGGGGCGAGGGTGAGCGGGGCGATGTGAAAGGGCAGGGAGCGGAGCTCGGGGGATGTGAGCGGGCGTCTGCCAGCAGGATGCGGCCCCGTCGGGGGCCGGCGGCAGGCGCGGCTCTGGCGAGAGGCCGGAGGTGTCCCGGAGCCTGGGGACGGGCTGGGCACCGCGGGCACCCCCGGGGAGCTGCGTCCGGCCAGCAGAGCGGTCCCGGCCGCGACACAAGCCGAGCCCCGAAGGGAGCGCGGGCGGGACGGGAGCGCAGGGACCGGGCGTCGGCGGGGGGAGCCAGGGACGGCGGCGCGGTAGCCGACCTCATCCTCTGGGTGGTAGCGATGGTCCTTCCGTGCCTTACCCTGCGCCAGCGGGCGCCAGCGGTCGCCCCTAACCGGGTCCGGCGCGGAGGGGCCGCCGCTCCGGCAGCTCATGCCCTCGGTGCCCGGCACTAACGCCCTCCGTGCCTGCCGTCCCGGCAGGTGCCTCTGCACACCCCACACCTCCCCGCTCCGCTGCGCCCTGCGCTGAGCCAGACCAGCTGCACCGCCGTGTCCTGACCGAAGGCTCCTGGGATGGCGTGTGGCAAGAGGGACGCCGAGCCTGGCGACCTGATCGAGATCCAGCGATCAGGTTTCCAGCACTGGGCCCTCTACTTGGGGGATGGATATGTCGTCCACCTGACATCTGCAGGTAAGGCTGGTGCAACCTAGCAGGGTGCAGAGGGGGTGCTGGGGTGCTTCAGGAGCCCTGTCTCCCTCTGTGGGCTGGTGGTGGACCGAAACCGTGCCTGTAGATGGCTTGTCCATGAGGAGCCAGAAAGGCATCTGAGGTCTTGGAGGGGCTGGACAAGTTCTGTCTGGCTTTTCTCCTTCCTGCTTTCCCCCAGATGAAGGGATCCCACCCCTGTCAGCTGACTGTATGGCAATATTGACCAGAAGGGCCAAGGTGAAGATGCAGCTCCTGAAGGACGTGGTGGGAAATAATGGCTACAGGGTCAACAACAAGTATGACCACTCCTGCCCTCCCTTCTCAGTGAAGGATATCATCCGACGTGCTGAGATATACATTGACACGGAGGTGACCTATGATTTGCTTGAGAGCAACTGTGAGCACTTTGTGACATGGCTCCGCTATGGTGAGAGGGTCTCCATCCAGGTAAGTACCATGAGATAAGCCCCTGTGTACCTCACACAGCATCTCCTCACTGCTCCCTCTGAGTCCCTGGACAGGGACACAGCCCACAGACTGCCTGGGGACAGCCAAGTCCCAGGTGTGGGGTCCAAACCAGCACTGCCCCGGCCTCACCATAGACCCTGGACTAGGAGGGTCACTGTGGTCTGTCTGCACCCTGACAGTGCCCTCTTACTGAATGCCACAGCCTAAGGGTAAAAACCTGGGTGTTACCCCTTCTGCTTATGAAGCAGATATCTCTCATTCTTTTAATTACCCTGATTATCCCTGCCTGCTCTTTGTTAGCATGCTTGGGGGTAAATATAATTGCTTCTTTTTTTTCCAGCCTCTGTTTTCCTTTCTCTTTGCAGGCCAAGAGAGCAATTCGTCGTGGGAGATCTTTCACTAGGAAAGTGTTCACAGTTGCACTTGTTGGTGGTGCAGCTGTGGCTGCTGCTCCTGCTGGTTCTGTTGCCGTTGTTGCTGCTGCTGCTAGTGCTGCTTTGGCTGACAGAATTCTGAAGGCCTTTATCTGGTAGGCATTCAGGAAAAAGAGGAAAAGAGCTACTGATGGGCCATTTGAAAGACCTCCAAGCTAGGCAGGGAGCCCCTGGCTGTGGGTGGTCATTGCCCAGTATTTGCCACACCTGATACCAAAGACTACCAGCAACTTTGCTGCCCTTCCTGCAATAATTAATAATTAAAATGTAATCTAAACAAACAAACTCATGTTGACCTAAATTCCTCTTCTATCTTTTGAGTATAGTTTTGTGTGCAAGTGCAACAATTCAGCCTTGCTTC